GAGAGGGGTAGTCAGTACTGTGTTAAACGCTCTGGTTATCACAGGATGGAGTGTTAGTCCAGGTGTTGTAGGTCTTTCTTCGCAAAGGTGTCTCGCCTTTGTGTGTATCTGCTTATGCAGAATTAGGTGCACAAATGTGCAAGGACGTCTTGGGACTTGTGCACAGCTAGTGTATAAAAAAAATTGGATGAGTCCCAACAAGATGTCTATGGGCACAGGTAAGCCCCATAGATTGCCTTTTCTCAATATATTTGAATTTGACATAATTTTTTAATCATATAACTGCCCACAAAAGCTACTGGTTTTAAATACAACTGAACGGACATTGTTTACAATGCCCTTCTCAGGCAAAAAAGCATCCCTCTTCACTTGTGTAATGTATAGTGAAGAGGGTTATGAAAATGATTGTAGGTGGGGGAAATAAATAGATGGAAATTAAGAACTGTCATCTATTATTTTAATCTCACGTAATGTTAGCAAATATTGTACATAGAAAAATGAGATTTAAAAAGGAGGATAAACCTGCTTGAAACGTGTTAAGTGAAAGTTACGGGTTATCTTGCATGACATATCGGGTAAAATGCAGTACTTCCGGTAAGATGGACGTTTAAGCAGATACCCCAAACAATCAGACATTTTCAAAGGTTTTTATTGTAGTATTTTGATCAACTCGACCAAAATGACATTTCTTTGAAATTAAGTAATTAATCTTGGTCAAATTGTTTGGCATACTAACGTATTTCTTTCTTATTTTATAGAAGAAAATCAGCAAGCAATGTGGAAGTGGGTGCTATATTGGAGTCCATTTTATATCGTAACGGTATACATTGGTTTCATGAGAAATGAAGAAGAACATCATGAGAAAAGACAACCTTATCGACCTTACGCAGCTACATGCATAAGAAAAAAAGTAAGTATATTTATTACAGTATTTCTTAGGTGCATTGCAAAATGCCTTCAAACCATTGTTAGTTACAGAATCATGTCAATTAGAATGAGCTAGTGGTGTGTTGTGTTATTTGAGGACCTTTTTTTGCTTTCACCTGGTGAAAAAATGTTAATGGCAATTTATATCTTTATGTAAGTATAGAAAAAAATTTGCATATGAATAGAGCATTTGTCATAGGCTAGGCCTACTAAGATTCTTTTATTTAAAAATTTCATGTGTTTTTAATCGCTATTTGTAAGAATTTTTTCCCAGTGTGTGAATGTTTGGAAGGGGTCTTTGTCTCTCATTGTGTTGTAAATGTCCTGTATTATTTTTCGTGAAAAAAAAAATTATATATATATATATATATATATATATATATATATATATATATATCTTAATGCAAGATTCTTATTTTTTCCTTTTTTTGGAGATATTCCTTTTTTCCAATTTAATTCGAGTTAAATCGATCTACTTATTATGATAGTTTCATTGTGAAGTCTCCCAAAATCCTCAATTATTTGCATTTTTCTTGGCAGATCAATATTATTTTGACATTTATACAAATATGTGTATGATTGAAAGGATGATGAGCCATTTGCTGTTAAGGAACTTGTTTAAGTTAGTATATTTACAATTTCTTCATCTTTTTTTTTTTCCAGCCCTTGAGGTTTTGGGATGGTGACCACTCTTTGTTTTTCAGTCCTCAACGCAACTGGACATCCAAAGGTTATGATGAAGAACAACATCTCCATCATTAAGAAGAAAAAAACATCAATATTTCATCATGACTTGTTTGATGTTTTCCATTTTATTTCAATAGCCAGTTATGCATATTGACAATTTGTTTGGTCTAAATGAAGAACTTGAATGACATTATTTAATGGATGTTGATAGTGATTTCATGAAAGATTCTACCTATTATTGTACTTTTTCTTCATCCAACAGTTTCTATCTGCGTACACAAGGGAATCTTACAAAACCAGCCAGAGAGGGATTTACTAGTATCTACATGTAAATTTTCACTGTCTCATCTTTACCCCTATGACGATTTTGTTTGGAATGATTACTTATCACAAACCCCTTTACACTTTTAAGATTCTTCATGGATATTTTGATGTGACGTGTTTTGACTATGTGTAGTGAATAAAGGAATTCAATTAAACAAAGGGCTTTTTTCACTCTAACAAATAACAATAACATACCATAGGAATAAAAAGAGAAGTATGGAACATTTCATGACTCATTTGATATTGAAGAATTTAACAGGATTTGATACCTAATGAAACAAAACATTGCAGAATGTGTACACAGACATTGAACAAACAGATTTTTTTAAATGGATTCCATGATATCTATACAATAATTTTACAAAATCTAAAAATAAAAAAATTTTAAAAAAATAAAAAAGACTAGAAAAGCACTCGGAGAGCCCAACCTCCACCAAGATAATTGACTAATTATTTAAAACCATTTATTAATGAATTCGTCATCAAAATCTTATCTTCTCTTCCTTGGCGCATTTGTGACCTACCCTGAAAATTTTTATTAATGAACTAGACTGCAACTGGCTGAAGCCAGTGGCAGAGGATTCCCCTGCAAAATAGGGGTGGAATGACCTTGAAGAAAAAGGTCAATTACAAGGCCATGTGCTAAATCTGATCCCATATCCTGAAAGAGCATATGTGGATTTGGGGAGGTGGGTCAACAATACATCAGTTTTAGCCCAAGTGAATATGTCACCTTGAAATGTCCAAATAACCTTGAAATTGAAGGTATCATGGGCATAGATTTGGTGGTTGTTTACTATAGCATGTTATCACAAAAATCAGTATTTCAAGTCACGATTTCTGCAACATTATAAATATTTAAAAATCTATATTTAAAAAATGTATCATGCAATCACTACGAATGTTCAGCTAACTTTAGATAAGACTATAAGGCATCATGTGCACCTAAAAACTAGGCTCTGGGCCGCCCAGTTTTTGAGATATGGGAAAGAAACCTGTTTTAAGGCAGTTTGGCCATTAGCAACCTTGACCTTGACCTACTTGCATGAAAGTAGGTAAATATTTGGAATTTACCCTAGTATCATTGGCCAAAGAGTCCTTGGCCACTTAGCTCTTACTTTAGGCATAATTGCAATTTCAAATTTTACAAATTTCGTCTGTAAAAGCCACTGTGACGTTGAAAAGTGGGTCAAGGTCACTGTTACTGGGTGTTTAGCATATTCTGACCATAGGCTACCTATGATATTTATTTCATTTTTTTCCAAAAAAAAAAAAGTGTGTGGAAAGAAAAATGTCCAAATGACCTTGAAAGTGAAGGTCAAGGTCAACTTTGACATTTGATTTGGGGTGTTGGGTATATGTTTGGGTTAGTTTACTATAGTATGTTATCACAAAACATCAATATTTCATGGAGAAATCGACAAAGTCACTATTTATGTAGAATTATTAATATTTAAAAATCTATATTAAAAAGATCTAATCAGTCAATTGTCAATATTATTAGCGACTGCACTGGATAGATCCCTAGGGCAACTTTTTACATCATCTTTGTGGCTCTGTGACATCTGGTTTACCCTCTGCTGAATTTTCGAAAATTTCACTTTAAAAGGCTCTGTGACCTTGTAAATTAGGTCAAGGTCAATGAAATTGTGGGACCCAAATAACTGTTCATAGGCTATCAGTATGAATTTTTTCAGAATTTTAGAAAAAAATTTTTTGACGAAAAATAAGAATAATAACAGGAAAAACAATAGTATTCTCCTATGGGGAATCCTAATAACAGCAAAAACAAAAGTATTCCCCTAAGGGGAATCCTAATAATAATAACAGCAAAAACAATAGTACAGTATTCCCCTATGGGGAATCCTAATAACAGGAAAAACAATAGTATTCCCCTATGGCGAATCCTTATAATAATAAGAACAGCAAAAACAATAGTATACCCCTATGGGGAATCCTAATAAGAATAAGAATAATAAGAACAGCAAAAACAATAGTATACCCCTATGGGGAATCCTAATGAATCGTCACCAAAATCTATTCCTTGCTTCCTTGATTCATGTGTTACCTATGCAGAAAATTTTATCAAAATCTATAATAGTTTGTTTATCGGATTATCACTGACACCAATATCTGATCATTTCCTTTATCCATTTCTAAACTATCCTGAAAAAATTATGAAACTGGACCTTTTGTGACCTTATCTGAATTATTATGTACAGACACAGATGTGTCTGTACATATTGCCATCACCTGCCTCTGTCGTTGCCGGCGCCAGCGCCGTGCACTTTCAGCGTAAACACGATAAGTGGAAGACAGTTTTACTTTTTGGCTTTATATTTACAGAGCTGATGAATATTCATAAAACGCAGGTCAAGTTCGAAAATCAGCATGATCTGGCCATTATTGTAGAAGTTATGCTGTTTTTTCACTTTTCAGCATATATGCAACACTGTAAACACATTTCAAGGAAAACCGATAGGCCTGTTGTCATGAAACTCACAGGAGTAATCAATCTT